GTTGCCTACTGGTGGTGGTCAGAGGGAACTCTAAACCCTGCTGTTAGAGCGTTTTAGAGCATTTTAATGAACAAACAGTATGGCCTCCTGTGTGGTACGCATTATCCAAGTTAATACTTCAGTTATGGTGAGTCAACTTGTATTATACTAGTATTGTACTACAAAATATATCTTTGTCTGAACAGTGCATCCACAGAGTTAATGGGTGCAGCTTTCTTACCCAGAAATCCCCTTTTGGATCCAGAAAACCAACATGATGACACTGCAGTGGCTAAATCCATCTTTTTTTACACTCTGTGGTCTCTGCATGGATGCAATTGCTTCAGCTTTTGTACATTTTGTCTACAAACAGTGTGTCTAAGTACCTCCTCCAGTATGGCACCCAGCTCGGCCTTATCTTTGGGGCTTGCTCTTTCTCTTTCCAGCCACAGCAGCAGCTCTGGTTTTCTGTAGGGTTTGAGAGCCAGTAGGTGGACGATGCGATCCTTCAGGGGCTTCTGCATTGAGGTCGCCATACTGCCATTCCTCCGGTTATTCACAGAGTACTTGGAGAAGCTGCTGTCTGAGGCAGGGAGTGGACCTGGCCTCTTCTGGTACTTGACACATTTACCTGAACACAAAGTAAAAGAACAAGATCTACGATGATGCATCAGTCCGCCTGTGATTTAGAATGGATTAACTTGTATGACAAAGATACACTCATTATGTTAAGTCTCTGTATATTAGATGGCATTGCAACATATCTTATAACACATTCTTGTTCTTCAAGTATCTCAATAACACTAAATGAATCAAATCAACATCTAATTATAAATACTTTGTATGCCTCGAGGAGCGGGTTTATAAAAAGCAGGATATTTCACATTTTATTGCAGGTGGCAAAACAGAAGCCTGTTTTGCATCAAGCAGTTTTGAGAACTACCTGAAGAGCTCCTCGTTGAACTTCATACTCTTCTTTCTTTCCATCTGTTTGCATTCATATTGCTTATAGAAAAGCTGAATCACTGTATTAACCAGCCAGTCGCCAGGAATGCAACATTAACTTTGATTTTCTTGTATTGCTGTTGTAGCCTCTGAGTTTTCTCAATATGTTTTGCCTTATTGTGGATTGCGCTAATCAGCTTCACAAGTGCTTACTTGAAATTTTTTTATATTTTGCAGTCCAGTTATAGACAGAATGGATTTTAGTGTTGGTGTTTGCAAGTTGCATGTTTATTTTTATGGCTATAGTTAAGAGTTATTGGTTACTTGTCTCATGTTTTACCAAGGTTAATACTATTTGTATTGCTACTATACCAATCACAGTACACCTACATCTCTCAAAAGGTCCTCTTATGCTGGTAAACCTATAACCTGATAACCTTTTCTGTGTTAGGAGCTAAAAATGTAGTTCTGAGAACAACAGTTTTCTCCAGTTGATGCAGTAATTGAATTCAGTCTACATACAATATTGCACAAGGAAAACACCAGGTGCATGCTTTGAGATCGGATTGCAGTGCAGTTTTGTTCTGTTCTTTGCATGGCTTTGAATCACAATTTAGTCTGCCAGGGGTCTTTTATGTTTTAAAATTGGCCAGATTATCTATCATCCTTCTTTGTCTGATTTCCTGTCTTTACTCCTTACCTGCTCTATGCAGCTTAATTCAGATTTTATTAAAAGAAAAAAGGAAAAAGGGGAAAAAGACAAGAAAATACAACTGTGCAATTTTAAGCAGGGATACATTTCTGGGACAATTCTGAAATACTTTGTGAGTCATCCTGTGGAATTGCAAGCACCGTTTTACTGGGGTCAGAATGTAACACAGCCACGCCTGGTGGATTCCTGAGGTTAGAGAGAGAGAACCCCAGCAATCAGACAATCTCCTATGCAAGCTGGCGACTGTGGGAAGAAAGAGCTCCCTTTTTTACAGGAAGGAATCTGCAGCAGAACAAGGCTCGGGAAGGTACAAGGAGAAAAGAATCTTAAGGCAGTGAGATCTGAGATAAAATAAACAGATTTTTAAAAAGTGATAAACACTTTACTCGAGATATCATCTGAGACCTGCTATTTATAGATCAGACTTGCAGCTACTTGTCCTTAGATGTAAAGATGCCCTTGATTATTGCTTGTATCTCCAGTGAAGAAAGATGGGGCATGTTAGAGCAGTGAAAGATACGTCTCTCTGTGCTAATCCCATTACGGGTTAATCTGCGCTTTGCAGGTCAGTGTAGGGGAACGATACAGGAAAAGAAAAAGTAAGTCCAACAGATAACTTCATGCATATGTACTTCTATTAGTCATTTATCATGATGAAAATAAGGAGAATTATATCATAATTATTGGGTGCGGATTTATGGTGTGCCAGATATGTGCTTGATAGAGTTTGGCTTTCTTTCTAATAAATTCTGTGTGAGTTACAATTTATACTGCTTTGTCATGTTCACCTTAAGATCTGATGTTACACAATCCATGCAGTAATCTGGTTTAAACCAACTAGAGTTGCAGCTTCCCTGGAGCTTCAGCACTGACATGGGGGTCCAGGACAGTGCCAAGAAAAAGTTTTGCATAACCGCAACAAAGGTTAGCGAACAGGGAAAAAACACAGAAGGTAGCTTTCAGGTCATAGTTAGTAAAACCTGCACGTCCCATACAGCTCTCATTCTGCAATAATCTTTGTATTAGAGACATGGCTCCATTAACTATACTTTTCAGTTGGATTAATGGTAAGGGCTTGGCAGTGAATCGAAACTCCCTGAAATTAAAGTTTAAAGACAGTTTCTGACTTTGAACAATGACAAACATTAAATATTGGAGACAAGGCTTAGCTTTTGTCTTGGTATAACCAAAAATACGGCCTACGCATGTGGTTTCATCGCACATCAAAAACAGGAAAGTATCTGGTTTTTAGCTTTAAGCAATAAATAAAGGAATATTTTTCAAGGCAAATATTCCTTTTACTTTTATTGGTGCTATTATATTTCTATTTGGGTTTTTATACAGCCTCTTTTGTATCCACATCCAAATTGCTGATCCCTCTCCAACTAAAAAGCTATTTGGCCCTTCCACATGAAAATCTGCCTTGTGCTTAATCTTACTTGGATGTGTTGCTCCAGGTTTGATCTCAATGGCAGAGCGACTCCAACTGTCCTTCTCCACCTGCGACATCCTCTCGCGGGTCATCTGGTAGGAATCATCGGTGGCACACACAGTGATCTTGTCCTGGATGCTGCCCTGACCTTCCAGCTGCTCGCGGCCGTCACTACAAAATAAAAAACAGCCAGCTGTTGAACTTCACGGCATTCTGCTGCTTTTAAAAAACATCCTTTAAGTTATCTCAAAGCAGGATGCCAGCGCAGAACCCTTGCAGCAGAAAGTGGCTTTGCGGCAGAATCTGGCTAAACCTGTGGTTCTGTATGTTATGTCACTGTCTAGATTTAGCTCTGCAGCCTGTGACATGTGAGAAAGGCTATATATCTTGGTTCAGAGCAGGACAGACCATGTAGAAAAACCGCCAGGATTAACTTGGCTCCTGTCGGCATGCTTGCAAAACAAGAATCATCTTGGCCAAAAGTAAAAAGTTAAAATAAGAACCTGGGCTCCATTAATGGTGCAAATAAATCAGATTTACAGAGCTGCCAAAATCCAAAAAATGAACAAAAACAGAACAAAATAAAAAAAGTAGCAATTCCTGCTAATTTGAGACATTTTCACTATACAATAACATAAGTGACCAATGGCCAGTCTTTCACTCTGTCCTCCAAATATCAAAACAAATGCAGGGGCCAACGGGAGCAAGATATTGCTGTCATGCTGATGTGCGGTTTCTCTTGGCTGCAGTAACTGGCTGAAATCAATGCTAGTTAAAGTTCAGGCCACAATTAGCCATCTGGCACCAAGAAGCCGCAACAGAGCATAACCTTTAGTTTCCAAGCATATCTACTCCATAAATAAGGCAACGCGGGTCTCAGTAATGAGAGGTTCGGCCCAGAAATTTACAGGAAATTACAAGTGCCCCATGGTCTGTACGGTAAGATGCAAGCAAACAGTCTCTTCTGATTTGCAAGCATAGGGAGACAGTGTCTTCTGAGGTTATGAGCCACTACAAGAGGATCAGACCACTTACACATCTGGAAGCTCAAAAGTGTACTTTGCAAAATTCTCCAGAAATGATGCACAAGCAATACGCAATCCTTCTTCATAACCATTTGCACACTGGAAGTGGGTAGTGGTGTACTTCTTTGTCTGCATTTTCTTCTGCATTCTGAACATTTTTGGGCCGCAACCTTCAGACAATACGTGGATGCCAGTAGCCATGTATGCAGGCAACCAGTTACCAGACTGAAGGGGGCTGAAAATGTGGATTCAGTAAAAAACAGTATTATAAATCTCCCTCCAGACTGAATCTGAGGCTAGCCTTCACCCAACCAGCCTAAATTGTTGATGCAATGCAAGATGGATCTTGGTTTAAACATTTTTGCAATCCTTTATTTTTCTTTTAGTTTCTTGTTCTTAGCTGATAAGGGGGTTAAAGGTTCGATAAGTTGTCCTTACAGAGAAGCTCTTTTGCACACTTTTGCTGTAATAAGTGATTATTTGAGTTGTTGCCTTCATATCAACCCAAAGCAGTCTGATCATTCTCCTCTGACCTCTGGCATCAACAAGTATTTTCATCCAGAGAATTGCCGCTCTCTGTATATTTTATTTTTCTGACCAGTCTCTGTAAATCCTAAAGATAGTTGTGCTCAAATCAGCTTTCTTCCCCATTCTGGTGGTCTGTTTGAACTTCAGTTTACATGCCTAAATGTACTGAGCTGTTGCCATGTGATTGGCTAGTTTGTGTGTACATCTATTTGGTCTTAATAAGTGATAATAACCAACATAAATGTTAGCAGTATATTTTAAGTCTGCAGGTGTTTCACTGGGGTTGTGTGTGTGTGTGTTCTGGCAAATTCGGTCAGGCATATTAAGCGAGAACTTTTGGCTGTGCTTATCCAGAGAAGAATAGCCAAGTTTGAAGCTTTAACAAAGAGTTCTCTTTTTTTTTTAATTGAAAATATTTGCCAAAATTTTTTGCTGATTAATGTAACGGGGAAAAGAGATTTTTGATTAGTCTTCCATGGTGCTCAAAGTTGGAACTTGATTCAGTGGCGATAATAGTACTCGACTTGTGACAATAAGTTTCGGATTCATACCTCGACACATACTGATGGATGCAGTCAAAGCTGGCCTGTGGCTGGTCTTTGCTGTCGCTGGACAAGTAAAAGGAAAAGACACGGAGGGCAGAAGGAGACTCTGAAGTGGGAGCTGGGATCTTGATGTACTGTGGAGAAAACAGAGGAAAAGATTTTTATTTTAGCAGATGCAAATAATAATAAAGTCGAATGAATGACCAAGTTGCATAAGCGTGTTAAACGCACCCACAAAACGATAATAAATGTATTCCAGGTTTTCCTGCCCGCTGATTTTGTCCTTAAAACAGCTTATGTAAATATTGTGTGAGCGCATTACCACCCGAAGTAAAAGAATGGTTTTATTGTTTCATTTGACTGCCAGCTAGTTGCTTTAACTTATCATTTTCCTAAGAGATTAGGAGTTTTTGATCATATTTCAAACTGTCAACTCATTGCAGGGAAAAGCAATTATCTACTCAGCACAATTTTAGGCAAGCTGATGCCAGATGCATTTAAGCCAAGAACACAGGACCAGCCAAAGTCAAGGTTTCTGCAAACACCATAAATCAGTGAAGTTTTTATTTTCACAACACAATGCCACAGAAATAAGACTAAGTAACATGCCCAATAATGCATAATACCACCAAAGGGAATTTACTTTATTTCATCAACAATTTTACCCAACAGGATGTTAAATGGACAAAAAGCAGACTGAGACTTCTTTTAAACTTCCAGTGGGGTTATTAATATGCAACCAGGGGCCTTTATCACTTGAATCAGTAAATTTATAGCAAGTTTTTGCTAATTTGTTTGGTTTGTGTGCAAAAGTGACCCCCCAAAAAACAAAAAAACAAAACAAAAAACCCCCCAAAAACCTATACTGTGCACTGACTGCCCAGCACAGCAGAGCAGACACATGCAGATAGCATGGTTTCTACAGGAAAGGGAACAACGGTGAAGTTCACCACGAGGGGGAGGAAGATAAATAAAAACATTAAAAATAGCACACAGAAATTGGTGCTTTGTGTATTTTGACTTCTATCTTCTGTGCGACAGGGGCTAAGCTAAAACCTCCAAAGGGAGGCGCCCAGGAGACATCCTAACCAGATCACAGAACCACCTCAACTGGCTCCTTTCCTTTTTAGCAGTAGGATGTGGTTCTGTGTAGAACCTACGGACAACCAACGTACTGCCACATGGTGATCTTGAGGAAAAGGTTCCTTTATCTTGTTCCACCACCACAACACAAATTAGAATTTCAGTTATTCACTGTAGAGCTTACATTAAACTCAAACATTCAGTGACTGAAATTGGAAACATGACAGTACGCAAAATCCCTTTGTGGTTGGGTCAGGAAGAGCACCTGACGTTAAAAAAATTAATTAAAATAACAATATTTGTTGCTACCTGCTGTGGTGACCCCTTATGCAAATAAAGGAGCGGCTCAAAGTAAGGCGGGGCAAGTTTATTTATATAGCACAATTCAACAGCGAGGTGATTCAAAGTGCTTAGTTTCTACATTACGTTACACACAATGATAAGTCATTAAAACAATTAAAATTCAAACTGGAAGTAACAGCTCTCGCTGCTTTGAGCACCCCATATTAAATTGGCAAAAATGGTGCAAAATTCAGCAAAATCAACATGGTGGACTTCCTGTTGGATCTGGAACGCAAGTCGTTTTTTTTTTACTGAACTTTACTGAATTTTATTGAAATTTTGTAGGTGGTGCTATGGTTCTATTTACAGATTTCTTTCCTCAAGCATGTGTAGCTCTTCAAAAATGCAATTCATTTTTATAAACAACAAACAGAGCAATTTCATTAGCACCTTCATACCGTTTGTTCCCCCCTAAAAATCACACTCATGTGTGCACAGTAGTGTCTGATCCATACCGCACACAGGTTGGAAAACGCATACTGAAACCAGGCGACATGTCAAAGTCTGTTAGAGAAGAAATCTGCCAACGCAGTGTGATGATTATCTCTGGGGTAAAATGTGGGAGATGATTAAAAACAAAAAAAACAAAAACACTACAGTTGCTTGAGAACAAACGCTTGGACTATGACAAATGAGCTGTGGTGAAATACTGCATTAAAATTACAAGGTTTACACACCTTTTAGAATTTTTTTTGTTTTGTTTTTGTAGCATTTCAACACAGTCTCACATGTACAATGAATCTCACACACACACACACACACACACACACACACACAGTTTCTCTCAGAGGTTTTAGACACTTTGTACTGCTCTGTAACTTTAAATAAATCCCCTTGGGTAAGCAGTGTTTTTAAGAGTCCGCTCCACTGAGGCGTCCATGAGATCTCCTGGCAGACTCAGTGGAGCGCAGCAGAGCCAAGGCTGCAACCTCCAGGGCAGACCAATGCATGTGAGTGTACACACACACACA